GTAGAAATATATTAAAGATTTATAATAATGTGTGTTCTGTTTTATTCTCAACTTGTATGTATTTATTTATACATTCATTATTTGTTTCCATATTTATTTATGCATTTATTTACTTATTATTTTATTCCGGTATTTATTTCAACATTTATTTATTTCTACGTTTATTTATTCGTATATTTATTTATTTCCGTATTTATTTATTCATGTTTTATTAATACATTTATTTATTTATATGTATGTCATGTTCCGTCCTCCATAGTCATCAGTCTTAGATTAATTCACATTTTAAGTTAAATGCTTATTATAAAACTGGGTGAAGTATAGCATTGCTTCAAGCTTTCACTTTATACATATTCAATTTGTGTTCTTCCTAAAGTCTGTATTTGTGACAATCTAACAATCTTTTTGTTTGTTTTTTGACAAAAGGTTTCCATTTGACTCTCCACTCTCCTACATGTTGTGTCACTGGAGATGACAATTGTATTAAACTCATGGCCTTTCATTCAGCTCTATTTAGACTATATCCCTGTTTTTAATGAGCATACATTATAGTATTAAGCTCATTTAATTATGTTACGTAGTAATAAAACCCTTGTTCTAAATCAAATCGTTGTTCTGTGGCCAATCACTGCCGACCATTTAATCGGAGGCGGGTCGAGCTGCTTTGTTCACTTCCGGCTATTCAATAAAGTTGATTTAGCTACATACAGACATGGGAGCTGTAACGGACGGTAAGTAATGGTTTAATTAACTAATTTCAGCTCTCTGGAAAAAAACACGAGTAGAAATGTGTACCGAAGCTCTTATAGTGTCGACATATATTCAGCCAAATTACAAAAACGGTCCAATGTTACAAAAGATAGAGGCTTGCTCTCGACACAGCTAATACACAGAAGGCATGCTAGCTAGTTAACAGTTAGCTTAGGTGCTTTTAAAAGTGCCTGCTGTATCTGGAATGTTGTTTGAATCCTGTTTTTCCCCTTATTTAGATGAAGTTATTCGGAAACGTCTTCTTATTGACGGAGACGGGGCTGGAGATGACCGCCGAATCAACGTGCTGCTAAAGAGCTTCACTAAATGGTGCAACTCGCCTGGGACCCCGGAGGAAGGGTGAGTGAGCTCTACTTGGAGATATACAATAACCGGTGGTGTCATGTAAACATTTACTCTCGTAATGTTCTTATTTACAATTTGCTAAATGAGTTGTTTTACTTTTTGTACTTTAAGTATATTTTGATGTCAAAACATTTGGGTAATATTTTGAATGCAGGACTTGTAACAGAGTATTTCTACACTGTGGTAGTCCTACTTTTACTTAAGTACAAGATCCGAGTTCTTCTTCCACATAAAACAATTTGTTTTATAAAAGTGTGGTGGACAACTTGTTTGAGTATTAAACCGTTATGCTGTTCTGTTCAGGTTCACGCAGTATCAGAGGGTGATGGCCACCCTGGGCCAGTGTGAGTTCTCCATGGGGAAGACGTTAATGGTTTATGACATGAATCTTCGAGAAATGGAGAATTATGAGAAAATCTACACTAACATAGGTAAGAAATTGTGATTTTGTGTGTTTTTTGTCTTTTTTATACCAGAACTACTCATGTTCCTGCATTTCAAACATACAATGTGGTAACTAGCAGATCTAGGTCACCACAAAACAAGGTAGTTTTTGAAGTGTTTACACAATAACCTTATCTCTCACCACCTTGTTGTCTTTGCAGAACAAAACATCACCTCTGCACACGAGAAGATAGCAGAATGCAAAAAGGAAATACAGAGAGCAAAGAGGGTACGGAAAAATCGCCAAGGTAAGAGCATTTCAGTGATCCAGATGGAATGATGGTAATTATTTACATGATAAATGTACTGCTTTTGTTATTTATAAACACTGAGGAAGAGTCTAAGCAGTATTTGAGGTGTCACACGATGTTGAAGTACATCCAACAGCTTGACATAGTGCTGCAGAACAATAGTTATTTAAAATGGCAAAGAAGTTATTGCCAATAGATTAGTCATGTATTAAGGAAAATATACATTTTCTGCTTCCAGCTTCACCAATTTAATGACTTTCTCTTCTTTATTATTCAAAACTGAAGTTCTTTGGGTTTGCAAAAATGTGAGTCAAACTAGAAAAGCTATCAAAAACCCACTTATTAACTAAAATGTTGTCAGTTTAATCAAAACATCCGAGCTTTTTCACAGGAAAAAGAGCATTTCCTTGAGAAGCAAAGTAAAGTTGTCTTACACGCAGATTATTACATTTGATTTATTATACAACTGCAATTATAATCCAATGAACTGTTGCTCAAGGAGTGTTTTCAAAAAAGATAATCCTAGGGATGGTTTGTTTAATTTGATCTGTTAAAATATTTGACTAGAATACTAGAGAATGCATTTTTTAAATGGACACAGGCTTTTATAAAAAGTAATCTCTCACTGATTTTAAAATAATTGGTGGCGATATAGGTTTTTCAAATAACATCAATATATTTCTGTTTGGTTGAGCTAGGTTTTTGTAGCCGCTTGTCTCACATTTTCACTTCATTTCTCCCAGAGTACGATGCTTTGGCTAAGGTTATCCAGCAACATCCAGACCGACATGAAACACTTAAGTGAGTCATTGTTTCATCCAGATATTGAGTCGAAGACGTTTCATGATAATCATATTATTGTTGGTTTGATCACAGGCAGTTGGAAGCGCTTGACAAAGAACTCCAGCAGCTTTCTCAAATCAAGGAGAACGTAGATGCTAAGGTAAAGCTAAATACATTTATCACCTTGTATTCCCACATCCAATGTCTTCGACCATGAGTAATGTTATTATTGGCTCTCGCTTTGTCACATACAGTTGGAGTTAAGGAAGAAGCAGTTCCATGTGCTGCTCAGCACCATACAGGAACTACAGCAGACACTGGAGAGTGAGTACACAAGGACATTGGAGATGCAGAACTTGGCATGTTTGTGCCTTGTTTCCTTAATAGCTGTTGATCAATCTCATCTGTAGAGTTTAGGGAAAAACTTTGCCTCTCTAATAACTTTAATCTTTTTAGATGACGAGAAATCAGACAATGACGACAACAACCAGGAGAGCCCTGCTCAAACTGGAGAATGAGCCTGTGACGATCCTGGCAGAAATAATTGAAGTGAACCGCTTATAAATGATTTTTTAATTATTTGTCTTGGAATACTTTTTTGTATGTATTTTTGAATAAAGCTTATGTTCAGGCATTTGACCAACATTTTGTATTTGCATACGTATGGAAATGCACACGATTATAAGTTATTGATGAAGAGGAAAAACCTAAATTAATGTTTATCAGAAGAACAACAAATCTATATCAGGACTGACTCAGCTTTGTATTTAAATCACTGATGCACAGCACACCTGTAAAGAGTATGGAAGAACTTTTTTTTTCTTTGTTAAACTGGAATTGCAATCACCATTTCATCTAAAACCACAAGGGGGAGCTAAAGGACAGTTTAATCTGGATACTCATTACAGTTTCTCTCGATTGCTAACACACTTTCTTTTTTTTAATTGCTCAGTTTCTCAGAACACTAAACACAATTCACAAACCCCCCCCCCCCCCCCCCCCCAAAGTGCAAAACACCTCATTTCTCCTGCTCAATGAAGAACTGCCCTCAAAACTACATAAACACTTAAATGCAAACTTTAGCACCAAATATAACACACTTCATTCATAACACTAGATCGTTTGACCACCCAACTGCACACTGCTGAGCATCATCTAAAGCGAGAGAAAGATTGCTTGAGTTTACAGAAATACAGTAAATGAAGAATACAAATGAGTTGTTGAAAATATAACACTGTGCAGCATGCATCTCAGCACACAGCTACTCTGCTTCGGATCTCTCTAAGTGTGATGCATTGTTTGCCAACACTCAGTTTGTAACTGCTGCTTCCTGTGCCTCATTGGAAACCCTTAGCCTTCCACCTCTTTGTTTCTCAGTCCTTCAGATAAACAACACAGATATACTGTAGTGGTCGGTCAGCGTCTGTGTTGCATAAAAGTGAGTTTACCACAGTACATTGGGCAGGATGTTTGTACGGTTATAGTATGCAACATGCCAACAATTCAATTACAGTAATGAAGCAAATACGTTTCACACAACAGATATAAGCTCTGATATATCATGAATTATGCAGAGCTAAAACGAACTAACCTGTTATCAAGTCTAAGTGTCTGGATTACAGAGGCGACAGTACATCGGCTTAGATTAGGCTGAACCTCCGTCCAGCCTCTCTCATCGACACACCATGGTTGATAACATTTCATTTACAGTAATAGAGAGTATTCTTCTTTGTCCACGTCCTCTCTCTCCACCTCTACCTCTACCTCTCATTCTTCCTCCTCTCACTCTCACCCCACCTCTTCCTCTCACTCTCACCCCACCTCTTCCTCTCACTCTCAGCCCAGCTCTTCCTCTTCCTCTTGCTCATGCTTCCATGTTGGCTTCCATTGTTGCTGTAAGAAAGTACTCATCTGTGGTCTTTTTATAGTGCTAACATCCTGATTGATGAGCCAACAATTATGCTATCAGTTGTTTAGTGAGGTGGAATGTGTTTCTTGATCATTGGTCCATGTGTGAGGCATTTTGAATATCAGTGTTTTAAACCTGCTCACACGTGACTTTATGTCAGACTCCTGTGTCTTACGTGGAGAAACGTGTGCAGTGGTTTGCAAAAAGTGCCATGTTGATTTGCAAATTGTGTGAAAAGCTGAAAACGTGTTTAGAGTTTTGGAGATTTGAGCCGATGTTTTGCTCTTGGAGTGTCAGTTAAAATAATTGTGCTTTATGTATAATTTTACTGTGTTAGCAATCGAGAAAAAAATGGCAATAGGAGTACATATTACACTACATCTAAAGAGACTCCCTACCGAAGTAGGACATCGACCTGCTCTGACTTTACATTTAAAGCAAATTCATTCTTCATTGGACATGCAGGGTAACAAAAAAAAGATCGAACATCAATCCTATAACAACAAGGGAAGTGTATTTTATATTGAAAAGAGGTTCAGTAGACTCGTACCGATAGTTGAGAGCTTGACCCCCTCTAGAACTCCACCAAATATGTGCGAGCCTTCATGAGGCGTTTAAGGCGACTCTGCAAACCAGCCCTCTGCGTGCCAATGTCGCAATCCTCCTTCAGGTATAGCTCCAAATTCTCCTTATCTTGGATCATCATCAGCATCTCCCTCTCCAGGGCAACGGCAGACTCCTGCAACATCTGGTAGCGGATCACCAGTGGGATCTGGTCAGCCAGACGCTGGCTGGCAATCTGAAGAAGGAAAAAGAAAGGATCTAATCCCTGCTGTATGTGTGCTTTTGTTCATGAATCATCTCTATATTAAAACTTACTTTGTAATAAGATTTAAGGTGCGTCATCAGCTCCTGAAGTGTAGCATGATTATCTTTGCTGTACACCAAACTCCTTTCTTTATGTTTTTGGATAGAAGTTGCAGCTTCCTCCTCCTCTTCCTCTCTCTTGCACTCACTCAAACTGCTGCTGTAGGTCCTGTCCTGAGAGTAAACAATCAGCTCCATCTTGAACTGAGTTCTCAGCATGGATTCAGCAGCGGACTCTTTTTCTTGCTTGATGGCTTCGATCTTTGCCTGAAAAAATAAGATCCCAGTCAGTCTGCAAGTAAAATAATGATGCATATCAAGTTTTAAGAGATTCATAGAAGATGGCTACCTTGGCTATTTTGACCAGGTTCGGATATCCAATGAAGCTGCTCTGGGCAAGCTGTATGAACACCTTCCTGACAGCATCTGGAGGAAAAAACAAGAAGACACAGCAGCTCTGAAGAATGGAAACTTGTTGGAAATGGTGAAAGCTGTTCCTGGAATTCATGCAACCATTTACCTCCAACATCCTTGAGTTTTTTCACAGCGGGCTCCTCCAGCTGTTTGATCTGGTCCTTGACCATGGTCTCAAAGGTCTTGTAGTTGATGAAGCCCGGCAGTTCTCTTCCACGATACGTCGCTTCGTATTCCTCCACCTCTTTCTCAATCTTTTTGTTAACTGGAAAACACAAACGGACATTTCAGACTCCTGATGTTGCTCAACTGTAGACCAGATCTAAATGACACACTCACACTTTTCTCCTGAGTGGAGCAGGTGGTTGTTCCACTTCCCAAACTCATTTCTGAGCATGCAGAAGACATTGAACCTGTCTCCACACTTGAGTTCCTCTCCTGTAGTCAGGTTGATGGCATCGTGAGTGAATGCAGTCACTTTCTGCAGCACACACATGACAACAGAAACAGTTTACAGGGGATTTGTGTTTATTTGAAATGCATACATGATGGTGAGTATATGTCTTGTGTAGCCAAGTGGATGTTATGCAGAGTTTGGGAGCTCACATCAAGGAGGTAGTAGATTCTTTCGGCTGTGTCTGACGGGGGGCCGTTGCCATATCTCTCTAGCTGTGCCTGAGTCTCTGCTAGTTTCTCCTCTATTTGCTCTTCCAGTCGAGGCAGAGATTTCTACACATCACACATAATAAACTTTAACATATAAAATAAGCAAAAATACCGTAAGTTATTTTGGAGTAAGAAGTTACCTCAATGTGATGCACAAGCTCCAGTGTGAGTTTCTCAGCCAGTTTGGGAATAGTAGCATGGCCATCATTATAGAGAGAGCTACAACAAGAATAAAAGACGACTGAGTACATGTCATATTACAAATCACAGTATGAAAATTGAACCATGAAGATATTTGTCAAAATTACCCAAAAAGTATGAACTTACTGGAAAAATGCATGATCACTGAAGAAGGTTTTCTCTCTTTCTATCGCTTCAGTAAGAGACACTTTCTCTGTGATCTCCTTCTGACCCCGGCACTTGACGATCATGTAGCCTTTCTTCAGGTGGATGACTTCATTATTGACAATTTCCACAACGCTCTCTTCTGTGCCTCTGTCCACCAGGTCAGGCTTGGTCAAGATACCTGAGAAACATAGAGACAAATAGACAGTGATCTAAAAGTAAAGTAACTTGTCAAAGGAGTTGATTTTCTAAAATCAGTTCTCTTTACCCAGAGTCCTCTCTCCTTCAGGATCCACTTCCTGGGCCATCTTCAAAGCTTCTGTGGTTGCTATGTCCACATTGCAGGGGACAACCACCAAGCTGATGGTTTCTTGTCTTCTGATGAACTTCTGTATCATGCTCTTTATCTGAAAGTAAAAATTCAGATTATACTTTAAGTTATTTTGTTAAACGTGGAGCTCATATTCTTTTATCTGTAATTTATTAGGCACTGTGTCAGCGGGGTGTGGTTAGAGCGCCGACTGCTGGAGTGATGGGAGCGGCTCGGCCTATAAAAATAAATGTTGATCGATTGATTGACACTAAAGTATCATACCCTGTCTCCAATGTTTGCATCCTGTCCCTTTACAGCCACCCTGGTGATGCCGGGCAGGTCAATGAGCGTCAGGTCGGGAACATCAGGAGAGGCGATCTCCAGACTGATGAGTTCATCACTGATCCCCACCCCTAGTCCAGCTATTTCATCCTGAGCTGGAGAGAGAGGAAGCATGTTGAATGATTACAGGATGGAGGTGCTGAACACTGAAAGCACAAGGAGCAGCTCCATCAATACTCTGTTTTTGGTAGTGACATTTAAGAGTTCTGTATACCGTACCTTGTCTGATCTTTTTCTCCACATCTACGGGGTCGTCTATCTCTTCCTCAAAGTCCTGGTAGCTTATCTTCCCGTACCACTCCTCTCCTTCTTTCTTTCTCTTCATCTTCAGTTCGAGAGGACATCTTGTCACAATGCCTGAGTTTATGAAGATAGAAGGATGATAATGAGAGAGAAAATGGAAATCCAGTGTGATTGTTGAAATTAGGAGAAAAGCATTAGGTTATATTAGACAACACTACTGATATCATCTTTATAAAAGTGGTATTTATATTACATCTCCAAAATATCTTCTGTGCATAATACATATGCTAGAGAAGTCTAACTAAAAAGAATGATGTGTCCTGCTCTGCTGATTTCCAACAATAACACAGATATTGTGTGATGTAAGGTGACCTAGTGCAATGTATTATAGCTATATTATATTTTGTAAAGCTCTATCTTTTTGTAGCCTACAATTAGGCTTTGGGCTCTCATCTACATGGTTTGATTAACCAGCCATAGGCTACAGGTTTTGTAATCTCCATTTCCGTGTTGAGAATTAAGACATGCCAACTGTAGGCTATTGAACAAAATATTAAAACAGAAATGTGTCTTTCCAGTTTTATGTTTCATGTACTCCATCGACAAACACCAATCACTGCAGCTTTAGTTTTTGACTGATACTGATGGTTGTGTACTGTTTACTATTTTATTTTTCTTAATTTCCCCAATGACACTTATGCACTTTATTTGTCCAATAACTTGTGCGACGTTAGGCAAGCCATAACTTCTAAGCATCCATAATTTCAAAGAGAGAAAGAAAGAAAATCAATGTTTTATTTTAGTTTATTTAACCTACCACTTCCTCTTGGTAGAGCCACCCCTGACAGCGCCTCCAGCACGGAGCTCTTCCCCGAGCTTTGGTCTCCAATGACGGCGATAGCAGGCAGAGCCAAGTCCTTCTCTACACCCAGAGAGCGAAGAGAGTCGATGAGGTCGATGCAGGGACGCACCTTCTCCTCATACTGTTGGTTCAGGGTGTTCATAATGATGACTTCTTCTATCCTGTCAATAAAGTTCTTGGTTGAATCTGCAGTAGCAGCAGGTCGGATGCTGAGATTTGAGTGTGTCGGATGCGAGCTGCCAGTAGCCTGTGCAATTAAAGGATAGGTTTCGTTTCTTTACCCGAGTTTCATTTCTTCGCAAAGTCTTTTCCAAATCTTGTACCAGCAGCAGGGGCGGATCGGCTCGGTTCGCTGACGGCACCGCCCTTTATTTTTTAACGTTTTAAACGGCATCATTTACTGCTGATAGGCGACTGAGGTCCACAGTTCCCCCGCAGCCAGGCTCCCCCCGCCCTCCTGTAAATCCCCAAATTGTTGTTTAAATTGTTGTTTATTGGTAGAATTTCGTACTTATAACCAACTGTTATTGCCATTCAGTTTCCTGAAGTCTATTATTTTGTTCAACCAAGTGACCGGAAGAACCTAAATACAATTCTCAGTAACTTGATTAAGCCAACATTTATTTTTTGAAAAAAAGGCACCTTGTTTAAACGAACTAACATGCCAGTTTTTTAATATATTTTTGGACCTTATGCAGACTACTGTATCTGTGGCATGACATTCAGGCAATAAGAAAGTTGAATGAAAATAAGACAAGATCAAATAGACCCTTATTGGTGCCCGTAGGGAAATTCAGGTGTTAAAGCTGCCACAGATTAAGAGAGAAACAAAGGACAGTAGATAAGAGTTCACACAAGTTCAATAAGAACATAAGAGTAAACATGTAAGTGATATATAATATGAATAAGAATAACAAGTCATATTTATGAAGACAATTAATTAAAAGGCAAATAATGAATAAGAATATTACATTGGATCACTTATCAATAGCCACTCTTTATTTTATTTGCTAATAATATCACAAATCTGCAAAAGAAAATAAATGTGATGAATGTGAAAACCCAACCAACTTCTTCCATCAGGAATCTGATTTTAAGGTTTGCGCTTTACTTGGGCTGTGTTGAAGTTGTATATGTTCATGCTGAAGTCATTCAACAGAACACGGGCTCCTGACATGCGCTTGAGGCTATTCTGAAGTTGTCTTCTCTTTGTTTCTATTGAAAAGTCCTCTTGAAGCAAGCACTCAGTTTTCTCCTTGTCCTGAAGCATCTGCGCCATCTCCCTGCACAGCTGGAGGGCAGACTCCTGCATCACATGGTAGCGGATCACCAGCGGGATCTGGTCAGCCAAACGCTGGCCAGCAATCTTTAGTTTGGAGAAGAAACAAGTAGATATAACACAATGTTTAAAAGCCATCCTCAAAACAATTAACAATACGTGTGCATTTAATTGGGGGGTATAGATTCAAATGCATGCTGTTTTTATTTTCCATCTTTATATATTAGGTGCAATATTTGATGTATTACATTTGCGAGGCAGAACAATAAAAAGTACTGCATGTATACGACCAGTGGTGAAAAGTAACTAAGTACTTTTAGACATATTTGTACTCTACTTAATGCTATCTTATATTCTGCTACATTTCAGAGGCAAATATTGAGCTTTTTACTCCAATACATGTATTTTAACACTCGTACATTTGTCCATATATCAAAACACATAATATGCTGATATGGTATAATGCAGTACTGTACTACTAATCTACACAGTATTACACATATCTGAATTGCTCCACATTGACCAACTAAAATACTATATTGCTCTCACATGTATAAAAACAGGATAATAGTAAACAAGATAATATAATAATGTCGAAAAGAATCTGCACCAATAACTTTTAATTTTGATAACACAGCAGGTGGAAAAACACGTCGATCAGTCAAACGCAACAATTCCTGAGAATCAGGACATGTCAGCAGCCATTTGATACACATTCACCAGTTCTTTATCATCAAATGCCAGTTTTTTAACCATCGTAGGAGATGGCTGCTGGACTTTTAAAACCCTCATTTGTGGAACAATGAGGTCTAAGCCGAACTGGAGAATCAGATCTCTGCCCAGTAAATTTATTGGGCAGACAGATGATAAAAGGAAACTGTTTTTGACTGATGTGGCAAATGGATGACTATCATCACCGTTATTTTTACCCTGAAGTGATACAAAAACTTCTCCTTTACAGTTACCCCAGCCGCTCCTATTGAGTGAATAAATCTACCACTAAATTTGCAATCAGGCAAATCTGCCCTTTTTACCACAGAATGTGTAGCCCCAGAATCAACCAAACAATTTTAACATCAACACCCATGACAGCCAAAGTCAGTGTGGGACATTTCTCAAATGCTGTTTCACTGTCATATTTCAAATATATATACCCTCTTTAACCACAGACATATCTTCTACATTTTCCAATTACTCAATAGCATGATGTGTTTGTGTGTGTGTCACTTCCCTGGTGCTGCTGGCTGAATTTCCGTCTCGCTCAATCGGGCCCCCCTCCTCCCCATCTGGTGTAGGTCAGTCTTTGTGAATGGTGGCCCCGTCCTTGCTGTCCCCCTCTACCTCCACCGCCAGTGTTCTGTGAGCAGTCCCATAATCCAATGTTCAACACTGCCACACTTGAAACATCTTTCGTCAAATGAAGGTCTTGCTTCTCGTCTTCTGCCTCGGAAAACCTCTTCTGCCTCTCCCTCGGTATTGTGAGCGGCCAGCATTCTGCGTAGCTTGCGCTGTGTCTGTGAGTCCGTTGAGAAAGGCATTATCTGAGGTGTGTCTCCCAAACACCTGCTTGGGCATCGGGTTTGTTTATCCCGCTGTTGTCCCCCTCTACTTGGGGCTGATGGGGGTGGCGAGCTTGGAGTTGACGGACTGCATGGCTGGGGCTTGTAGTGGCGGTGGAGGTGGTTGAGGTGGGCCAGCCGGAATGCCAGGGTTGTACCCCGGGGGAGGGAAAGGATACCCAGTCGAGGAGAGGTCATTCAGACCTGCAATGGAAGGACACAGAGATGTCTGGGGTTTACATGGTTTTGGAAATAATTTATTTTCCTTCTTTTCTTCACATTCATCTTCAACCTTAATATTTCTTTAATGCCCAAGGCCAACTGCCTTCTTTTACGGCATTCTGCTTCATCCTCCCAGTATTATAAACACTTTCTGTGAGTGTCCAGCTTCCTATAAGTCTTTTACTTTAACTTTATTTTTATCCTTCATTCCATCTTCATGTTCTTGTAATTTATTCTTTAGGTTCTTGATTTTTAATTTACTCAACAAAAAAACCTCCCTTTGGAAATCCGAACATTTCCGTCCAGATATTTAATTTAGACAGACTGTTTCACCATGTTTTGCCCGCATGACATCTATAATCGGACCCTCGGGAGGGTGTACCAGCCCCCCACTCTGCTTTGATCCCATGGCAAAGCTACTTAAGTGTTTACTCTAAACACCCCGTGTTATAAAAACACTACTTTTTCACCCGTCGGTGATTGTGATTTTCTTCTTCAGTGAATCACAAAAACTGATCGTAAACCCAGGCTACGACGGATAATCCCTGATATCCTTACTTTGAGCAATCCTTCTTATAAATGTCATGGGGTTTTTAATTTACGTTTTAACTTTAAACAATTTAGACACTGTACATCTCACCGAGTATTTGAAAGGCCGTCTGAGTTCGTTTGGATTTCGTGAAGTCAATCGGTTTCACCCCGGCGCTGGTCCTCTCGTCCCGTACGTTTTCTGTCGAGGTAGAGGAGAATCCGAGGATCCCGGTGCGACCACCAGCGACCGCAGGTGTCCCCAATCGACAAATCAGAAATCCTGTTCGTGACGCCAATTGTTATGGAAATCTTTAGACCTAGTCAATACTGTGGAGATACACAAGTCAGAAATATCAAACAATAAATGGTGAAACAGACAGAGTTGTCTTTCGGGTTATTTATTTGAGGCCTCAAAGACACAGGTCTCACAGAACACAGAGTATCCTTAGAGAGTGCGCGCAGAGTAGAAAATGCATACAGGTTATATAGGATTTTGGTCAGTTCAACAACATCCCGTCACTCATTAGGAGGGGCCCTGGCAGGAGAGATAAGCTTTCCAAAGGAACTGAAACTGTCAATCACTAATAGATTGAACCAGGGGCCCGTTCAGCAAGAGGGAAGTGAGGAAACTTGTCAGCAACAGATGGAGGGCTAAGAAATGGGGAACTTGATTATAAGACAGGGAAACTAAACAGGAACTTGCCCATTGCCCTGCGCTTGGTACCCAGCCCCCTCATCAAGTTCAGACCTCAGGCGACCTTAAATGTCACTTTCCAGGGAGGCAAAGGACATGAACTAAAACACATCACCCAGACCTTACTTCGACATTTTTAAAGGTCATGAGTGTCAATACATCATTACAGACACACACTTGCAAAATGCTGACAGAGGTCCTAAGCAGAAATATATTATTATAGAAATTGCTGAAAGTGCTAGTAAAGGTTACAAGCAGAACACATCATCCTAGGAACTGCAGTGGATGTGTCCATGTATGGTCTTAGGGAAAGTCTGCACTATAAGAAACCTTAAACTACATATATACAAAGTTTGCCATTACACAGTTTACTCCAGAGTCCTCTATGACAACTTTCCATGCAGCAAACTCTTTCCTGAGAATGGAAAAGATGTTTGGCCTGCCTCCAAATTTGAGTTCCATCCCTGTGGCGAGACTGATGGCATCCTGTGTAAATGCTGTCACTCTGAAATATGACGAGTTTAGAACTGTCAGCTGGTAAACTCACATCAATGAGATAACCAATTCTCTCCATTGCGTCTGGTGGGGGTCCATGGCCAGATTTGCCTGAGTAGTCTTTAGTTTCTTCTCTATCTGTTCTTCCAGTCGAGGCAGAGATCTCTACAAATCACACATGGTTAAGATCAGTAACATCTGAAAAGGGCTAAGCAATCTGTAGCTAACCATAAAGGTGAGGCACAAAAAAGTAGTTACCTTGATATGATGCACCAGCTCAAGAGTGAGTTTCTCCGCCAGTTTAGGAACAGTGGCATGGCCTTCATCGTAGAGAGTCCTACAGCAAAAGTTAAACCCTTCTTATTAGACAACCAGTTAAACTGTGAATCATTGTTATTACTACCTAAAAAAGAATTAGCTTACTTGAAATAGGCATGTTCGCTGAAGAAGGCTTCCTCTCTTTCTAGCGCTTCAGTAAGAGACACTTTGTCTTTGATCTCCTTCTGACCCCGGCACTTGACGATCATGTTGCCTTTCTTCAGGGGGAAAATCTCATTGTGGACAATTTGAACTACTGAATCCTCTGTGCCTTTGTCCACCAGGTCCACCTTGGTCATGATCCCTAAAAGAGAAAGAGAGGGAGAGTCCACTTAGACCTACAAAAGTACAACAAAGTTTTGAGTAAAAAAGAGTACAACTCGGTTTAGTCAATAAACCTAATCCTCATTGGTCAATTAAGGTTGGTTCAAACTGGTTCAAACTCATTACTTTACAAACTGTGGAATGTATGTCTGCAATGTACAGTATTACCTGATCCAATGATACTTTGCAATCAGATTGTTTCTCCTCAAATGTACAACTTTAATCTGTTTACTCTGAATATAAGACCACTAACACAACTCCAGTATATATACTTTAACCTACAATAACCTACACATTCGTACAAAATAATCCAAATCATTCTTAATAATCCAAGCTATTTATTACCCAGAGTCCTCTCTCCTTCAGAATCCACCTCCTGGGCCAACCTGTTAAGCCCCAAAGACCCCTTCACGACACTGTGTCTCAGGGCTGCTTACTATTAAAAAAAACTATGAATGTGTCTTACAGTACCCTCCTAACGGGAGGAAACTCAGCTAACTGATGATATGAACAATTTTTACCGAAACAAAACACAAGTCACAAAAGAAGGGTCTAAAGGAGCCCTGAGCGAAAACATGCTAACGCACTTAGCACAGAACTCTAGCTATACCGATCAATATACTTATTGGATCTGCACAAACAAGTATAGCTATCATTTAGCTACATCCTGAGATTCCACAGATTATAGAAAGTATCATCACTCACTGAGCGATTCGAACTCGCGACAGGGGAAGCAAATACAGACAACACACGACGTAGCTTTAGGTAGCAAAACACGGAGATATGCTCACCTTTAGCTGTTATTCTGATCAAAAGTGAGTTCAAAGGCATTCAAAACGAGAAAAAACGCGGTTGAAGGTTAATCCATAGGTTAATCCAATGTGTCTGTCACTTTGAACAAATTATTGATAATCTATAATTCCATTTTTATGCAAAAATCGGAGAATACATATTAGCTGCTAATGGTAGCCACCAGAGGTTAGCGCAGCTTCCGGTTTTTGCTACGCGTCACTCTCACTCTTTATTTGGTAACGTGTGTGTGTGTGTGCGTGTGTGTGTGTGTGTGTGTGTGTGTGTGTGTGTGTGTGTGTGTGTGTGTGTGTGTGTGTGTGTGTGTGTGTGTGTGTGGTGTGTGTGTGTGTGTGTGTGTGTGGAACTTTCCCTCGATTCCATTGGCTCTAGCGGTTAAAAAGAGATGTCAATCATCATCAAAATCGACCAAGGGGGGCCAGGTCAAATCCACCCAAATGACCCCAGAAGTGTTTTTTGTGTGCTAAATCTCTCTAAAAAGGTCAAATTTAACTTGTTTTGCATCAATCTTGATACAGGGTACTTATTATATGTTATAGTTTGGATTCCTAAAGCTTTTAGTCTAGTAACCCATCATTCAAGGGTGGTTTTCACTATAAGTAATGTGTTTTTTTTGGACGGACACAATGATTTTTTTTACTATTTTCAATCTGAATTTACTTTAAAATAAAATACATGTATATTGATTCTGACTTGTCTACATCCAACTCACAGGTTTATCATTGCTTTGAGAAAAAAGATTATTAATTTTCCCCTTTTAGAAGTGTAGTTATGGTCATTTGTTCTGGGAATGTCATTTTCGAGCCTGAGACCTGGAAAACAGGCTTGGGGCTTACTTAAAGCTTCTGTGGTTGCGATGTCCACATTGCAGGGGACAACCACCAAGATGATGGTTTCTTGTCTTTTGATGAAATTCTGGATCAGGCTCTTTATCTGAAAGTATGAATTCATATCATATGAAGTATAATCGTTTATATCGGTGAGGACCATCCCAAAGACAGCTCAAGAGCGCCAAATGTTGTGGAGGTTAAACCTGGACTGCAGGATACCCTGCAACTTCTACAGGCCATCAAGAGTATCCTGACCAGCTGCATCACATCCTGGTATGGAAGTTGCACCCCTTTAATTGTAAGACTTTACAGGTGAATGGTGCACAGTACATAACCAGGAAGGCGCCGCCATTCGTGGAGGACCTTTATACCCAGTCGTGAAGGGGGAAAGCACATTTTTATTGTCAAAAACGATGCTGCAGCCTTTGAAACCTTTGATTCAACTGATCCAGATAAATATCTTATTACCAACAGTAATGTCCCACTCCCCACCCAGCATTACTTCTTCGGCCAACTTGTATGGCTACAGGTTACATATGAAAAAAACCTGCCAACCACTGTAGTATTATCTCATTGTGAGGAAGCAGTACCATTTTCATTTAAATGGACTGTATACATGTTTCTACCTTAACAGAAAAAGCTTATCCTAATATTTATTTATTTAATGAGCCAATAGTATAGTTATTCACTATGTATGTGTTACAGTTAGGTTACAACTTGTTAAATGAATTGTATTTGCGTGTTTTTCTACGATAGAACATAATTCTAATGAAGCCAATTTGCCCAGATATTTGAGTTGTCCACAACAAATAACATGGGAGAAAATGCGTCCACTTCTGGGGTCTTTTGCCATGAACTAATGTGTTTGGAAATTGGACATGTAACCTGTTCAGTGTTTTTGGCACCAGAGCACTCTTGGAACACTAAAGTCATTTGAGGATTAATCTTTGAGGACCATAGTTGTCTCTGGACCAAAGTATGGTCTAGCATACCTGATTTTCAATGTTTCCTTTTTGTCCGTTCACAGCCACCCTGGTGATGCCGGGCAGGTCAATGAGCGTCAGGTCGGGAACATCAGGAGAGGCGATCTCCAGACTGATGAGTTCATGACTGATCCGGCTATTTTATTCTGAGCTGGAGAGAGAAGACACGATGTATAATATGGATGTGATTATTACAGAAAATAAAACTGCCTTCAATCTTCATCAATACTTGGCTTGGATAGTGACATTGATAGTAAAACAGTGTATACTGTACCTTCTCTAATCTTCTTCTCCACACCTGCAAGGTCTTTTAGCTCTTCCTCAAAGTCCTGGTAGCTTATCTTCCCGTACCACCCCTCTCCTTCTTTCGTTCTCTTCATCTTCAGTTCGAGTGGACATCTTGTCACAATGCCTGAATTAACATAAAGTGAATACAGAGACAGGGAAGAACAAGTTAAATCCAGGAGTTTTCGGGAAAATGAATAATAATATAGTTGGATCTCTAATAATTGAATCATGTCAAAAGGAACTCTTTGAATAAAAGTGACCTCAAGATTCAAAGGTTTAGATTCAACTCCACGCTTTCTCCCTTTCAGCTGGTATAACTTGTATATTATTAGTATCATTAAGTTCCCTGCAAATAACAATTTGCTATTGAGATATAATGTAGTAATAGTGAGAGAGGATGATTTTAGAGGTTGTGTGAGGATGGTAGTTGGTTATTTGTTAGACTCTTTGTTTATTTAATTGTGTCATTTTTTATTTGGTGGATAGTTAGGCCTCATCGCTGGGTAAATAGTTAAAGGTCACCTATTATGCAAATTCCACTTTTTCATGTCTTGTATGCATAAACATGTGTCTCCTCTGTGTAAAGAGATTCTGAAAGTTTCAGGAAAAAAGATTCACACACTTTTTGTCCTGATCCATTTAATGTAATGTAATATCAAAACCTGTCTGAAAATGTTGGCCAATTTATGATGTCATAACGACTTTTTGGCTTGTGTAACCATTAGCCAATAACCAACCAAGGTAACACCCACCCACCTTATCACCTGAATCTCCTCCTAGAGCACCATTGTGTTATTTTTAACCAAATATCCCTCAGAGGGGCGTGGGGAGTGGCTCCTTATTTTCATCTAAAGTAAAAGATGAGAATCAACACTTTTGAAAGAGGGCTGAAACAGAGGGGTTTATGGGATGCTACAATGCATTATCTGTTTGGTATTTCGAGCCAAACACTTCAGAGACATGTTTTGTATGTATCTGAGACCTATTGATGAAAAACAGTAAAATAGGTGACCTTTAATGTCTAATAATTGTTATCACAATGCTTTTGTTTTCAATTAATCATTTAATTGACCCACCGCTAATGTTAATGTTGTGGGATGAGTTATTTCTAGCTATTAAGTCAGAAGCAAAGTGTTTTTTATTTATTTAACTTACCACTTCCTCTTGACAGAGCCACCCTGGACAGCGACTCCAGCACGGAGCTCTTCCCCGAGCTTTGGTCTCCAATGACGGCGATAGTAGGCAGAGCCAAGTCCTCCTCTACACACAGAGAGCGAAGAGAGTCGATGAGGTCGATGCAGGGACGCACCTTCTCCTCATACTATTGGTTTAGAGCAGTGGTTCCCAAAGTGGGGGGCGCGCAGAGGCATGACAAGGGGGGCGCGAGAGACCAGGAGGAAAAATGGTTATTAAAAAAATAAATAATCATAATTTGAAAATGTATTGATTCAAAAATAATATGATACAGTATGGTACTATTACGTCTGGGTCTCTGTGTTTCATTAAAGCTCGGCTCTGTGTGTGTGTGTGTGTGTGTGTGTGTGTGTGTGTGTGTGTGTGTGTGTGTGTGTGTGTGTATGTATGTGTGTGTGTGAAACGAGCCATTTTGTGAGAGAGAGAGCGCACCGGTACCGGAGATCGTAGTTGTTAGCTTCTGGTGCTAGCGAGCTACGCTAACGGATATAAGGAGTTTTTTCAACAACAAAGTGGAGGAGAGTCCTCTCCTGTCAGACTGAGAGACTCAGTGAGCTAAAGGACTCTCTCAGTGTTATCTCAGTGGGTCTCAAACGTTTTGGTCACCATTAATGGAAACAATTATTTCCGAGGCACACGTTTATATGATCATTATAGTTATAAAAAAACAAGAGAATAAATGAAAAACAGGTATGAAATACTATATGACAGTAAAAAAAGAATAAAGTTTAAAAGGGTGATTTGTAAAATATCCATAAAGAAAAAGTAAATCTGTTTACAGTTCTGTTTCATATGGGTGTTGAGAGAGGTATCCATAGATCTGTTCATTTTGCTCTCAAAGTGCACCAGATTGATGCATTTAACTTCAATATTTAAAAATAAATCTTCCCGGGGTAGCATGCTCCCGGACCTCCCTATGTACACACCACATATAAAAATAGCACTTTACCCCTACTTACACCTATATATGCTGTGAGCTGATGATCGAGCCTTCATTGTAACAGTTGCGCTACGTTGTGTCAGTGGCGAGCCGTCAGGGCCCTCTAGGCCCTCTGTGAGGGCCTAGCTAAGATATTCTAAAAAATAATATTTGAAAACATAAAATAAATATTATTTTTTATATTTTTTTGTTGTTACATTTTTCATTAGTTTTACTAAGATAACTTGATTTAATTGTATTTAAAATAATATTTCCAAAGAAATAAATCCTTCGAATCTGCCTGTTCAGTTTATGTTGGAATGTGAAGGGTTAAATGCCGTCTCTGCGAGTTACTGTGAAGACGGGAGAGCTTGTTGGTCCCTCTCTACATTCACAGAGGGCCAGCTATAGTAACTCAGGCCCAATCCCAAACCACTCCCTCGACCCTACCCCTCCGTGACGGAGTGAACTCCGTCTGTAGCCACACTCGCAGCTCAACGAGGCTCCCTCCTGTCAGATGGAGGGAGTAAATACAGCAGCAAGCTTTGGGACGGCCTCCCCTCTCTCCGGCAGAAACAGGAAATGCTGTAACTGTATGTAACAACGGTTTCAAATCAGCATCTCTACAAAAAGTTTAAATGAATAACTCAAATAAAACTCCAAACATCTTTCATTGTGTTTCAAAGCTTTTTTAATTTTAAACCTGATGTTTATAAGCTTCTTAGTTTTTGCAACGGTCTGTAAATATACACAACTTTATAATAAAATGCACACATTTACCTTTTTCTAGACTAAACACAGGTATGATCCTAAATTAGAAACATATGAGGTCATCATGAGGTTGTTAACACCGCAGTTTATCAGTGGATGTTTGCTGGAACTAGGCTACTTGTAAACAGCGTGTTTCCTGACGGACACACACAGCGGGACTCCGGTCAGGTAGAGACCGGTCTCAAGTCAGCACCGCTGCAGACTCGCTGTTTGAGGGCTTGATAGCCCACTCCCCCTCCACACTCGTTGCTTTGGAACAGCCCTCAATATGGCGGACCCTCCGCGTGAACGCGCAAACGGAGGGGTAGGGTGTAGGGGTAGGGTGTAGGGGGCGGTTTGGGAATGGGCCTCCATGAGAGAGTAATGTCAAATGACAGTACAATTGACCAATCATATCTTCCCTCTAAATGGGCGGGCTTTATTTTCGCGGACTTTATGACAAGTTCCGCCCGCTGTGAGGTCTATGGCTGCTTCTCATGTCGATTAAATGAAATCCTTGCTTCCCTCACTTGCGTCGTTTCCCTGCCTTTAGTCCCTCCCACCAGGGAAGCATGGAGGGACGCAAGGAAAACACGAGAAGCAGGGAAATGAGTTTTAAGAGCAATGGGACGTCCTTTCCTCCGGAGCGTCACGTGAAGCGACGTCCGTTTGTGATGACGCTGCACAGCTGATCGTCTGACAGCAGCTCTGTCCCCGTTATTTCCACACACACCCCCGCCTCTGTTAGTACCATGTTAGTACACATTTACTGACACAAACATTTGTATCATCTGTTGTAGACCCAATAAATAAAATAAAATAAGAACTCATTCTCAAAAAAGATAAACGCCATTCTTAAAATGTATAAACGAACAATAGTTTGATTAATATTGATTAGAGTGCACAAAAGAAATACAAATAATTGAGAGAAGAAAAAGAGATATGTTATCTATCAAAACCCAGTTAGATTAACATTCATTGGATTGCACACTTTGTTTGTTTGTTTGTTTGTTTGGATATGTAGCACATTAACATTTTAATAGCACTTAATGACTGACTGAATGGAAATGACAATAAATGAAAATGTAAAACGAAAAAAGCGATCATGAAAATGTTTCCAACAAATGAATAAAATGATTTTTGACCACTTTGTTGTTCAGATATATCACATATGTGTAACTAAATGAAACAGGAATTGAAACAAAACACGGTATAAACTGAGGAGTGACTCCCGTGAGGTTCATGTATTTTCTTCACTCCGCTGGGAAACGGTTCTCATGTCAAGAAGCATGAGATCAGTGCATGCACTGCATCGTCCAATCAGTGAGCGATACACAGTAAGGGGGCGGGGCGAGTATCTGAGGATTTCATCGGAGGATGGTCTGGTGGTTCCTCGATTATCGCTCCTCCATTATCGCTCCTCGCTCCTCGATCCTCGGTCCTCCGGCAGAAATAAGAGCCATGGGACGGTACTCAAGATGGCGCAGGCAAATCAACTTCCGGTGAGACCGAGGAGCGAGGAGCGAGGAAATGAAAATAGTCGACCTGAGAAGCAGCCTATGCAAGTGGTGCAGTGACGCGTCCTAAAACATCAGTAAAAAATCAGTAAACAAGCTATCTGACTGGTAACAATACTCACTTTCTCACTGCTCTTAACTTACTTTTTTTCTTTTCTGAGGCTGCCCAAAAAACTGTCTAATGTCACTGCCACCCTTCCTCTTGCTCATGCTTACAGCTTGACCTCGGCGATCTGCAGTTGCTGATGTGATGAATACGGGTCAGCAGCGCTGGATATAAGATAATTAAACATGTTTATTAGCAATTCTGAGCGTTCTAAACCCAGCACAAGCTATGATGCACACTGCAAACCTCCTGCGTGTGAGTATCTTTTAAATGCTTCTGACGATTATGAAATACTATTTCATAATAATTGTAGAGTATTTATTATTTAATTAATTCTGGCACCTTTGGTATTCCATAGGTGTCACACATCACAGTTTTAAATCTTTCCACACCCTACAAATTACAAAATAAAATAGAAATAATCCACATGAATAAATATCTATTGGATTACATCCAAAACAACACCGTCATTTTCCACATAGCTGACACTAGCCCGCCAAACCCTGGCTAACAACTGAAACCAGCGAGCCCACAGTTAGTTAGCTACTATTCCTGAAAAGTTCGGTTTTAACATCAGGGTTGCGTTCCAATAGTCCATTTAGCTTAGGAACCTTCCTAACCGAGTGAAATGACCCGGAAGTCCCTCACTGGCAGCCATGATAAGTGCCGTTCCAATTCTCTAAATGAAAGGAAAGGAGGTTTCAAACTTCCATTATAACCTCCTTTAGCTTAGGAACCACTGGACCTCCCTAACCGAAAGGAGAGGAGAAAATGCTGCCCCACAATGCCTTGCAGCCGCAGCATTTGCCGTCACTCAACAGTCGGCCGTTCAGGAAAACAACCGATTATGACGGAGAAATTATATCATGAAAGTTACAGTGCTTATTAAGCATTTTAAAACGTATGTGGTAAGTTGCCAAAGTGCTTTGTTTTGAACGTTCATCAGTATTATAATCAAAAAGAGAAATATGAACGTTAGTTTTTACTGAAATGATCAAATAAAGTCAACATTTCACTGAGCTGTGTGGGGTCTGTTCAACTTTTAAAAGATGTTTGAATGGTGATATACACAGTGATAGATGTTAAGGACTAACGTTTATAATAAATACATTTGTATTGATTTTAAGATATTTTCATAGTTCATACAATCATACGTATTGGGATCATTTGTATTAATGTGGACCGGAGGGAGAGGGTGATGAGCATAAGTTTCACTTTTTTATTTAAATTCCAACTTTGGTCATGAAGAATATGTTTCTCTGTTGTTCATAAAGCATAAAGCAACAGCGTCAGAGCACGGTGCAGTCTCTAGATGAGTCCGTCGTTCTTATTATACATCCATGTTGTAGTCCGCTGTATAGAAAACTGTAGTTTCCATAGTTTCCCCACAGCAGCAGACGCACATTCATGACGTCCGCTGGCGCATCATAAACACGTCGGATAGTGAAAGTGCATTCGGATTCTCTAAAGTACCGCAGTCTCTTCTCCTAAGTCCTTTTGAATTCTCCTATCCACTATCCCTTAACCCCGTGACGTTTCACTCAGAGGTCAAGGAATAGGAGATAGGGTTAGAACTTAGGAGCTGATTTTTGGATAATCGGAACGCAACCCAGAACTACAAGTTACTTACACAAAGAAGCTAAACCGGAGGGTTCATTAACATTACCATTACGAAATAAAATAATATAGATTACTTTAGGGCTAACTAGAAAAGATACCAGAACTGATGGAGGGCAAATTAAAACATGACTGACCTGCTTGGAGCATCAAGCTAACTGAAGGTGGACTCAGACGTGCAACAGCGAAATACATCCCCGGGTACAAAATAAGGAACCAATTTACATATGAAAAGAAATATCATT